ACAGACGTCGAGAATGATACCGGAATTTTTTTTAAAAATAAGGAACCTTATTAATAAAACATGCCCATTGTCCAAACCCATTCCATAAATCTTGAGGTATTGATTCTAAGACATTGGGTTCGCGAAATATCTCTACCTCCAATAACTTCATATATTTTTCTGGTATCGAAGAGATGTCATCAATAGGAATTTGATTTGCAATTCGCCTTTCGCGCCTTTTTTCTAAGAATTTTTCGATGAATGTAGACTTCGGACTGACTACTGTGGAAGGCTGGGATAAATTGGTTGATTTAAGATCCTCAGCGACAAAATTCTCAGAAACCCACTGTGTTCGGATATAATTAACAGTATCTTTTTTCGTAGATTTCCGTGTCTCTATTTGTGTTTTGTGCTAAAAAAATAAAGTGATTTAATGTCGATATCAAATCGTCGTAGGCTAGATATCTATATGCAATAGATTTTGAGGCGGATATACGCAAATTACTTCTCATCTAATAGCTTGGTGGTATAAACCGCGGGAATTTTATCGGATCTTCCTCTCCTCGCTAAAAGATAATGATAATTTCGCAATCACTTCCTCAATTATAAATAGAGCTTTGCAAGGGAGGGTGAAATCGGCCCCTAGACCTGTCTTAAAGACGATGATTACCCCTTTTCTTCAAGCTCCATTTAATATAACGAAATTATATATCTCCCGCTCTCAAGTAATATTCATTTAACCTACCTTTTCTGGATTGTAGAATATCTCTGTTTTTTCATGTTTTTTCTGATTATCTGTATTATCATGAATATTAGGATTAACAGTAGGTGCTTCATTATTTTGAATGTCTTTATCGTTACTGGGGATAATAGTTGCTTCTTTTCCCTGATTCGCCAGAACCTTATAGGCGTATCGAGTTAACTTCTTTCGCCGATTTCGTTTAGCAGACTTTGCAATTGCTATTGTCAGTGAAGTTCTTAGCGATTGCCTAATTACCAAGAAACGATAAATCAAACTTTCACGTACGTCTATGGTGATGTTCACGGCTCGAAATAACACTTGATACAGGTGGTTCGAATATGTCGTGGATATTATTTTTCGTAGCTGGTGTCTCCTCCGACGTGATGGATTCTTTTCTTTTATAGGCAGAAGACATAATTCCGAATATTATGGCGGTTCAAATAGAGAAAGGTTCGATGTATATTAACTAATAGGCAGGGAAATATGAAAATGATGCTATCCAACGAGCCGAGTCTTGCTCAAGAAAGAATAGCGTATACTTTCGCGAAAACCAATCACACAAGATCAAGATCGACATAGAAGTTCGTGGAACACGCATAGCCAGCGATAGAAAAATAGCGTCGTCGTTCTATATCTGGGATAATCGTTACATGATCTATTTCGGCATATACTACAAGCATATAATTAATTTTCCGGTGTGGGTATATGGGGTGTACAACTCGATACAAGATACACATGAAAATATCGACATAATATATAATCTTCTCAACTCGAATTCTTTATTAGCAAGGCCAGGATAGTCGATACAATAAAAATACATAATAATTTATACAATATCTCTATACTTACCTGTTATTGGGTGGAAATTTAATGGTAGAAGAACACTGTCTTTTTAAATACCCGCATCAGCAAGCTCTGTTACGGCGATCGTGGCGTTACTAACTCTCCATCGTAAAGGGGCACATCTTCCCGAGCTTGTGGTGAACAAAAAGCTATGTTATATAAAGACGCATCAACTTTTTCCACAATCTCATTAAGGGTGCGAATGTGGTTTCGTAGAGACGCCTACAAATAATTCTATTAATTAACCAAGAGTTTGTTTATCAACTTCTCGCATTCCGTAAAAATATGCCTTACCCTTAACTTCCATAATTCATCCATAAATCCAGCGAGTGAAGATTGGCCTCGATTCATAGGAATTTGCACTGAACCAAGACGTTGAACAAAGTAAAAGGCTCCAAATGGCATAGTCATAACCCAACATGCCATAGTTCCTCCTAAAGTAGAAATGGTTAGTTTTGAGTGAAAAAAAAATAATTGCGATATTACATACCAGCAACTTGGATACCAAAAACTGGCACCCTGTTAAGATCCTCCTCTATTTCCTTCACGTCCCCAACCCTCCCTCTAGTGAGCTTCCTCAGTAATCGCACATGAGCATCTTTCATAAGCTTGATCGACTTATCCCAATCATCACGAATCTTTTTATCAGTTGGGAGAACACGTGAGGCCTCCATGAGACAGATTTCCACTTCACCAGCAATCAGTGGGGACTTCACACGAAAATCGGGTTTGTGACCAATTCTGATTTCTCCAGAATCATCCATCCGACGTTGAGATGCCTCCGAAACTTCTTCGGCCCTGTTATGATGTATGTAAACTTGTTATGATCATTATGTGACTGTCTCTGGTAAAAAATCATATTTAACACATTATTTAAAACTTTACCAGATAATTTTAAGTTTGCTATTTTCATAGCAAAATAATGAATCAAGAAAATTAGATACTATGCGGACGATATATGTCCCTTCATCAGCCTTGTTTTCATCGTTAAAGTAGCACCAGATATGTCGGCTATGGAATAAGAGTATTAGAAATTGGTTAGTTATCAAGACGGAGAGGCTCAATTACCTACATAGAGTCTATAATCCTATGCATCACGCATATGTCTTCAAATTCCTCATCATTTCCTTGGAAATCCGCTGGTATAGGTGGGAGAGAAACCATCATTTCCCTTTTTATTCAAGCTCTTTGATTTTTCTAAAAGGACTTTAACCAATTCGGAAATAGCGTGGCTTGTTTCGTATTGATCATATGCCAAATTTATAATTTCTCTCAAATTCTTCTTTCGCTCTTCTGACAACTTTCCAAAAATTATATCCGAATTTCGCAACCGAAGCTGAGTGGATCGTTCCATTCGATATTACTGGCATTGAAGGATTCAAAGAGGCTCCTCAACTCATATAATAGCAACGAACGGGACGTCTCATCTTGAATTAAATCATTCTACAGAAGTATCGAGTAAGAACAAGCAAAAAAAAACATAACCATCCACAATACGAGTGCGTTACCAATCGTTTCCCAATTTTTTTCTTGTTTGAAAAAACAGGATTCTCCTCTGTTGGGCTTACGAATTTAAGAGAAACCTGAAACGTATAAAACGTGTTAGCGTCGGTAATAAGCTTTTCTAAAATGAGATTATAGTAGTTTATGTCAACCATTGATTCCATAGCCTCTACCGTTGATAAATATTGCGTTCTCTGCTTGTTCTATAAAAATAGAGGAGTCAATATATGAAAATTCTATATTCCGCTTATTATTCAACGCTCTTATTTAATCAGATCTCCGATTTCTTCATACACCACGAACGACCATCAGGGCCCAAATCTCAGGTGTGAGGAGGTGGTGTGAAGTTGGTTCTCAGAATAGATGGAATGTCATCATATAAGATATTATGGATGGGATAAAAAAACAATACATACGTCGGGAATCTTAGAAAATCCTTCATAAGCGTCTCGTAGAATGTTACTAGATTTGGTAGAACGACGTAAAGCTTTCTCGCAAGCCAGCTTATATATTTGAAACGTGTCGCTCATAGAATCATATCGCCCGCTATTTGCGTTAATCGTGGGGAATGTTTCTCAACAGACTATCAAAATAATCACACAGTAATGTTATGGAAATGTGTTAAAGGACATCAGTGGAGAGCTAGATTCAATAATATTAAAAGTGGAAACTGGTGTCCATTTTGTCTTGGGCGTAATAGAACAATAAAAGATATGCAAACTTTTGCACAAACAAGAAATGGAGATTGTATCTCAGATAAATATTATAATACACATACAAAATTAGAATGGCGTTGTAACAAAGGACATACATGGATGGCTCAGCCTAA